GAGATGAGAATTTGGGGTTCAATTTCAAGTTCAGCAATTACAAACTGCAGTTTTTTTCTAAATCAAAACTTGAAGAAAGGGCTGTAGTAGCAGACTTGAGGACCTTGAAGATCGACATACCTAGATATAAAATACGATTTGGTACTTGAGTGTTTTCTTGCTTTTCTGTGGAAAAAAATTCTTCATATAATTGAAGGTAGTCTAACTTTCTCATCTTGTTTTGTTACTTTTTAATACTCTGCATATTTTACTTTCAGAAGGAAATATATGTAACTAATGGAATTTCTTTTCTGAGACATCTTATCCAAGCCAACAAATTAAAAAGCCTCATTCTGTTTTTCTTTAAACGCTATGTATCAGACAAAAACTGATGGCAAGAACTTAATTTTCATTCATTCCAAGTCATGAATATCTTCAGATCAAAGCTTAAATTTGGCTTCCAAAGAAGGCATACTTTAACTAATTTTTTAATCAAACCTAGTATTATAATTGTTATTTTCAGGGTTACTTTCCCTGAGTAGACTTGTAGGATAAGATTTATCTCCCTATTCAGCTTCAGTTAGATTTTTAAAAAGTATTTTCTGTTTCATGATAATTAGCTAACCCAAGTTAATCATTAAACTTCCTGTCTAGTAACCAAACACATGCAAAGAGTGAAACATCTTGGGGGAGTTGGAAGTGTGTTTTAGGAGGGATCAAATTGTTCTCTAGTGGTAGATATTTGCTTTTGCTTTCACTCCTATTAACAATAAAGGGAGCCTGAATGGCTCCTTTTAGGCAGCAGAAACTAGGTGAAGTGACTCAGTGATTGCACATTTCGTATGTAAAATACCTCTGGTCTAGTGCTTTTGAGTGTATATTTAAAAGCACCGATTTACGATATGGCAGTGAAAATATATTCATGCTATGCTGATGATGTGTTTCAAAGTTGTTTGTAAATATATAACAAAATGTATAGCTGAGCAACCGTATTTATTGAGATGCAGTAGAATTGTGATGCTGTAGGATTAGTGGATTTGGGCGAGGAATTTTCCAGTATTTTTCTTTTCCAAAATGGGCTACCTATGCTTTTAAGTAGTCCTAAACAGATATATTTCAAATACTGCTAATGAGTTTTGAGAGCTTTTGGTTGAAACTGTCCTCAAAAGTGCCAGTGCCTTACCTTTTAATCACTGATTAAATTTGTTCCCTGTCTTGGCATTGCTTAGAGTCATCAACAGAAGTAAAGAATTATTTGCCTACTTTTAATTGATTATATCTGTGTTTAAATAAATCACTTGAAGTCAGATGAAGTAGTTTAATGTCTAACTCTTTTTCCACTGGCAGCATAATAGAATCTTGAATGAAAGTTAGTTGTGGGTTCTGACATTTTGTAGAACTGGCACAGAGTAGATTTTCTTTCCATTGTCACTTTTTGGTTTTGTGGGGGGAAAAGAATGTTGTGTGTATGACTTCTTCATCTGACATTACAAGACCCCTGAACTGTAACTTTTAATATCATTTTTTTTCATCATATTTTTGTTTGTTCTACTTATCTCGTATGCTGCTTTCCTTACATGCTTTGGAACTATTTGAAAGTAATTCAGTAGTTTTGTTTTTCTAGACGTTTCCCATAGCTTCTCTGTTTTAAATTAGTTGCACCCTTGGCTGCTATAATGTCAATAGTCAGCATCAAACCCTTAATGCTCTCCAGCATACTTTAGTGGTCTTGATTCTTTGGCAGCCTGATAAGCTGTTCAGCATGTTCTTTTGCTTTCTTAGAGCCTGGATGTCTGTGCTCAAGTAAAAATTACTTGAGTCTGTAAGAAAATGGTATGAGAAATCTTGGCCATGACTAAGATTGATTTCAGTGAGTGGCCAAGGTGATGATGATGATTATTATTTTTTTTTAATTATAGATTATGAATCTGAAGCTTGTGCTTTGTCTTTTTTTTTATTATTATTGACTTCTAGGAAGAACTTGGGCTGGAATCACAAGGTGATATATGGGATTATCTGCCCAAGTATATACTCAATCCTAAAGAACACTGGCATTTGTTAGAGGCCTAGTTGATTGTTGCCAAATCCCATTGAAGTTTCTGCCGTTGGGTTTTTGCATGAAGAACAGATACTGTTGGCACGATCTGTGTTGCATATAAGCTTCCACAGGACTTTATCCACTGTTTGTGCAGTATCTTGAGTCTCTGGAGCATCTGCCGCTTACAAAGCACAAGTCTTCTTGTCACTCTCAGAGATGGGGGTAGGGAATTTTTGCTTTGTTCTGGGATTTGTCTTTGTTTAGGCAAAGTGAAAGGGACACACTAGAGGATATGGTTTTCAACCCAGATTCTCTCCTGAGCAGTGAAAAATTTGCTCTGAAGTCCCTGTTTCAGATCAGCCGCAGGTGGGTTTGAACGAAGGCAAACGTTCAAGGGCTGAGCTGTTTTATGTGAGAGGGACACCGATACACATTCTGCTTTTTTTTATTCTTTTGATAAAAGGAACCACAAACATGACTTAGACTTTACTTTGCCCTAGTCCTCCAGTGTTTCTGCTTGTATTCTAAAGGCAGCCTGCCACATGGTGTACATCTGTAGGGTTATGATTTAAATTAACTTACATGGCACCTGTGGTTTCACACTTAGGCTCAGAGCCTTATCCACCAGTATTACATTCCAGCTGCTTCACTCTTCTTCCACTCTGTAGCAAGCAGAGTTTTCCTCTTTCTAATAGGAACCATGGGCACAATTAGCAAGATAATTTCTGAGCAGAATCCAATTGTGGCTCCCTCAGGTAGTTTTCTAACGCTGTCTCAACAGACCTAAAATCCTGGAATATGTCATGCCATACAGCATTCAGCATCTTCCTGCAGCCTTGTGCTGCAAAAACATTCTCATAGGCTGCAGTATAAATGTCCTGCTATTTTATGTAGTTTTCACTGGAGTACTATGGATATTATAAATGTTGCTTTGGGCTCTTACACTGAGCCCACATTGATTCAAGCCCACTATTTTCAGGGAAAACAGACAATCTTATTCTAAATCCAGCTACCAGACTGCAATAAAACCAGGACTTGCACCCCAGAATCATCAACAAAAGTGAATTTCAAGTGTCTCAACTTATGTTTGTGTATTACAGAACCTGCAGGGGTGGATGGGAAAAGGATGGATGCACTTAGTAGCCAATATATTATACTGTTCTTTACCTTAAAGATCGGTTCCTAGCTGTAATTGAGATGAAGGGCAGAGTTTGAGAATGGGTTCCCTCTGCACTGCAATGAAAGCCTTAAAAGCTATGAATAGAGCTATTGTTAAGGTACCTTGAAAGCTCGAACACACCAAGTTCCTGTGAAAGTGCTGTTTCGCATTACAATTAAGCTGATGTAGCTGCAGCTCCTTGTCATCCTGCAATACCAGCTCTTCCTTCATGCTTCGTGCCTGATCTAGTGATCAGATGGTGGCATGAGAGTCGAATCAGCTCATTCTCTGGAATGTAAACTAGGAGAGATGCTGGATTGTTCACCCCATAGTTATAGCACTCCGAGTTACATGAAAATGCGTGGTCATCAGCTCATATAACTTGTCAAGTAGTCTCTTCCAACAATGTAAAAGGCTGACAAAGCATTAAAATTTGCAACATGATGACAACTTTTTGTTGGAATCTAAAATCTTAGCAGATTTGTCCTTTACTGGATCCAGGTGAGGCTGTCCAGAATTTTACATAGTTGCTCTTTTGGAGAATAGTAATATATCTTGTTTATATTATTGTAAATTTACATTGTTAATGAATAGATTTTTTTTTTTTACTGAGTACATAATAGCCTTAGTTTCTGTTACCTTCTTTGTTTACGTACTTGTAAGTACTTCTGTCAACATGCCTAGAAAATACAGGGGACGGTTGCCAATATTTGGAAATTAAGAAAAGAGATAGGGATAATTTTTGAAAATGGAAGTAAAATACCGTGGTTTGGGTTCTTGCATTTCTTGAATTTCACCAATAGGGACTCAGAATTTGCTGTTTACTTTTGAAATCTATTTTACTCTTTACCCTAGATTGATCGTGTGGCTGAAACCACGGTGCTGTTCTTAGCTGTGAGTCACAACAGCTTCCCAAATACAACACTGGTAGAAGAGTTGCAGGTCTATGCCGTGGTATCTCAGCACACCTAAAGAGGAGCAGGCCAGCAAAAGCTTAACTCGGAAAAGGAATTTTCTACTAAGTGAAAACAGTTAAGATGTACTAAATGTTGGGGAGGATTTAATACTGTGAAGAGAAAGTATAGTGCTGCTGTTTTCTGACCTCCAAAAGTTGTAATCAAGCTCCCTCAGCAGGTAGAATAGCTTAGCTTTCCTTGCAGTTTTGCCACTTCCCTTTACCAGGAACCTGTTTAATCGTTTGGAAGTAGATACATCAGTTGCTCTTGAGACCAGTACTTGTTCCCAGTCTCCGACACATGTCTGTGCCAGTTCCTCATCTTAGTTGTAGTAATCTTGAAACTGGGAGGCATGTTGCCTTTGACTTCTCGAATCACAGAATTTTTTTTATACAGTTTGGGTCCTATCTTTAGAGACCATTTCTTCCCAACTAGACTTAATTTAATAGCAGTAAACTGGCTGTTAACCTTTGAGCAGGCTCATTTTAAAAAAATTCCTTCAAGGAAAACTTAAAGGTATTTTTAAAGGGTTTATAATACTTAAAGGTAATGTAGAATTAGTGAACCACTTCAAAAAGCATTATTAAAAGGAAAAAAACCCCAAAGGTTATAGTATTTGTCTTAGTTTCAGAAGTAACTGGGAACAATTTTTATGTGAAGTATTTTTTCTTGTTTTTAGCATGAGTCTAGAGAAACATTACTGGGATTCAATATGGTGAACTACCGAGCATGTAAGAATTTGTGGAAAGCTTGTGTTGAACACCACACGTTCTTCCGTTTGGACAGACCACTTCCCCCTCAGAAGAACTTCTTTGCACATTATTTCACTTTGGGTTCCAAGTTCCGGTACTGGTAAGTGCTGGTTTGAAATATATGTGAAAGAATGCAAGAGAAAGGGCAACTCATCAACAAGCATATAGAAGTACTTAGAATCTATATTAAGAAGTGCCGTAATTTAAGTAGCTTTTGCATCCTGTGACTGCTCCTCTCGCTTCTTGACATATTTTAAATGTTGTCGGCAAGTTTCTAGGATATTGTGGAAATACAATTATTATATTATTAGTGGTTGCTATTGAGCTGATACTCTGAGATTGTCTCACAGGCTACATTTCTTTGCCTGCTTACCTGCTGGGTTATGTTTATCTTAAAAAATGTTGTCTCAGAACTTCAAAGACTTTGGCTTGGTGTTTTTAAAAACTGATGGATCTCAGATCTTGTGTGCAGCAACAGCAACAAAACAGACCTAAATAAAGATCAAATAGAAATCAATGAAAAGAAGCTTGTACAATTAAAGCCCACTTAAGCTAGATACATACAAATAGGCAACTAGGTGAAGGCAAAAGATATGCATGTTCTACACCAAAGCCAGAAGTTTAGAAGTAGGGATGAAATTAAGTCCATAACTTTTAAGATTGAGCTTGACATAACAGGCAGACAGCTTAGAGATGAGAAGAGTGACTGTGGAATATCTATAAACCCCAAGTATAATTTCTGTTCTAATGATGGAGTGGGTGGTGCTGTTTTTTGAAGTGTTTTATGATTTTTATATGGATTTTAAAAAATCTCAGTTAGGTAACTGAGCTAGTCTCTGCAAGTAATGCAGAATGCCAATGGTTTAAATTGTGCCTGCAATAGAGAATAATGGAGCTACTACTAATCATCCATCTAGAATGGCAACAGTGTCTGTGCCATACAGAGGGAAATGATGAAAAGCTAGAACACACAATAACAGACTATTTCTGTTACACTTGTGAATTGCATAAATGTATAAAGAAGAAAGTAATTGAGAGGCTAAATTTTTGTACCATCTGTTTTTTCTGACCAGCATTCACAGCACCCATTTGAGAAACAGCACTCTGTGATTCTGAGCTGTGTTTGATACTTGGTTTCATGTTGTTGTACTGAATTCAAGGGAGCTTTTTAATTTCTGTAAAGATTTTGAATTTGAATCATTGTGATTGGTTTCTACTACAGAATAGCTCTTTGATGATGACATTCAACTTATGGTAATATAAGATGAAAAGGGACTGCATAAAAATCAAGAAGGTTGTTAATGAAGCAGCCAAAAGGCAAGAATTTTTTGCAAGTCATTTGAGAGATTGTTTAGAGAGAGGCAGCGTGATAGTAGTACTACGGGACACAATGATTAAGGGCACTGGGCTTGTTTAATCTGGTGAGGAGGAAGCTAAGGGGGAGTTTAGTTGCAAGCCTAAACTTAACTTCAAGGGCAGTTTCAGAAATGATGGAGACAAACTTATGCTGGCAATGGCAGGTGATTGAACAAGGGGCAAGAGCCACCAGTTTCACCATGAGGATTTTTGTTTTTCTAGGAGAGTAGTGCATTACTGGAACAAATTACACAAAGAGTTTGTGAGATCTCTATTTTTGGAGGCTTTCAAAACTTGGCTAGTCAAAGTCATGGCCAGACATGACCTAGTGTTAGCATGAGATTGGACTAGAGACTTTCAGCCAACATTTCTATGATTAAAACAAACTAGTAAAATTCTAAACTGTCAGGGCTAGACAGAATTATCTCTAGTTCTAAAAGAAAACAGAGACATGAAATTGTTGAACTATTAAATGTGTTACATAATCTATTATTTCTGTTGGACTAAAAGATTCTAATGCTGCAAGTTTTAAAGCAAGTTGTGGTTTTTTTAAAGTAAAAGTTGAAGACTGTAGAAAACTTTGGTGGTATGTCATAGTGACGGGTGAATAGGCAATAAAATGGTAGATCAAGTTCAGTTTACAAAAATGCAAAATAATCTACACAGAGAGAAAACAGGAACGAAGCCATCCAGTGTGGCCTGGAGATCTGGGTGGGTAGAAACCTAATGAAATTCCAAAAGGGCAAGTGGGCATCTGGGGAGAAACATGTGTCGGTACAGGGTGGGGACTCACCTGTTGGAAAGCAGCTCTGGGGAGAAGGACCTCCGAGTCTTAGTGGACAGCAGGATGACCATGAGCCAGCAATGTGCTCTCATGAGCAAGAAGGCCAGTGGCGGCCTGGGGTGCATTGAGTGTGGCCGGCAGGTCAAGAGAGGTTCTCCTTCCCCTCTCCTTTGCCCTGATGAGGCCTCATCTGGAGTGCTGTGTCCAGTTCTGGGCTCCTCAGTTCAAGAAGGACAAGGAACTACTGGAGAGAGGCCAGTGCATGGATGCTGAGGGTACCGGAACATCTGCCATATGAGGAAAGGTTGAGAGAGCTGAGTCTGTTTAGCCTGGAGAAGAGGAGGCTGAGGGGGGATCTCAGCAATGCTTCTAATGCGAATGGAGTTAAAGACAGTTGGTGGCGAGTGGTGTCCCCCGAGGCTAAGTACTCAGCCTAGTCCTGTTTAACATTTTCATTAGTGATTTGGACCAGGGGATAGAGCACATCCATAGTAAGTTTGGAGACAACACCAGGCTGGGTGGAAGTGTTGATCTGCTTGAGGGT